GCCGCCAAGACGGCCCAAGCTGGCTCCAGGATGGCCCAAGACGCTCTGAGACACCCCCAAGAGGCCTCCAAGACGACCCGAGAGGCCTCCAAGAGGTCCTCCAGGAAGGCCCGAAGAGGCCACAATCATTGGTTTTCCATTGGTTTTGAAGGATCTCGGCAGTTGCGTCTTTTCGGCCTTCCGACGGCCCGAGACGGCCCAAGAGCCCCCAAAGATCGCCCCAAGATCGCCCAAGAGGACTCCAAGGTGGCCCCAGAACGGTCCAAAACGGCCCCAAAGACGGCCCCAAGACCACCCCAAGACGGCCCCAAGAGACATCTAAGACGCCCAAGATGGCCTCCAAGACGGCCCTGGAGCACCCAAAGAGGGCCCTAAGTCGGCCCAGAGAGGCCCCGAAGACAGCTTCCAACGGCGTCAGACGGGCCAGGAGCCCACCAAGACGGCCCAAAGCTGCTCCAAGATCGCCCACGACGGCCCAAGAGGCCCCCAAGAGGTTTCCAAGACGGCCCCAGAAGCCCCCAAGAGGGCCCCCAGGAAGGAGCGAAGAGGCTACAATCATTGATGTTCCATAAATTGTTGAAGGATTTCAGCATGTGCTCCTTTCCTGCACGGCCCGAGACGGCGCAAGAGCCCCCACCCCAAGATCGCCCAAGAGGCTTACAAGATGGCCCCAGAACGATCCAAGAGGCCCCCAAGACGGCCTCAAGACGGCCCAAGGAGCCCCCAAGACGGCCCCAGGACGGCCCCAAGGCGGCCAAAGAGGCATCTAAGATGCCCAAGATGGCCTCCAAGACGGCCCTGGAGCACCCCAAGAGGACCCCCCATCGGTCCAGAGAGGCCCCCAAGACGGCTGCCGACGGCGTCAGGCGGGCCACGAATGTCCTAAGACGGCCAAAGAGGTCCCCGAGAAGCCCCCAACGGCCCCCAAGAAGCCCAAGGAGGCTCCCAAAATGCCTCCAAGAGGCCCCCAGGAAGCTCCCAGGAGGCCCAAAGAGTGCCCCCAGAGGCTCCCAAGATGTCCCCTCCTTCTCCCCCTCCTCCTCCTCCTCCTCCTCCTCCTCCTCCTCCTCCTCCTCCTCCTCGTCCTCGTCCTCCTCCTCCTCCTCCTCCTCCTCCTCCTCCTCCTCCTCCGCCTTCCTCCCTCCTCCTTCTCCTCCTCCTGCTCCTCCTCCTCCTCCTCCTCCTCCTCCTCCTCCTCCTCCTCAATTCCTTTTCCTTAGAAAAAACTTCTCCCTGTCGCACCCCGAGTCCAGTTTTTAGGGCAGGCTGGGCGTTCCGCCTGAGACTTCCTAACCAGTCATGACTCTGAAGCTAAAAAATTGGCCCAAGCTTCACAGATGGAGGGCGGCTGGTATTCAAAATGTGGGCAAAAGCTTCACGGATTGAGGATAAGCCGTTTTCAAAATGTGGCTCTCGCCTTAGCGCCGCGCACACTCGTGCTAAACATTTGCAAAAGTTGCACGGGTTGAGGATGGCCCGTTTTCAACATGTAGCTCTCGCCTTAGCGCAGCGCACACTCGTTCCTAAAATCTGCAAGAATTTAACGGATTGGGGATAACCCGCGAAATGTGGCTCTCGCATTAGCGCCACGTACGTTCGTGCTAAAAAATTGCAAGACCTTTACTGATTGAGGGCGGTTCCTTTTCAAAATGTGGCTCTCGCCTTAGCGCAGCGCACATTCGTTCTAACAAATTGCAAGAATGTCACGGGTTCCCACGATCAACGTACAAGAAATGTTGTTTTGGACGGTTTCCTGATTTTGCGGGCGCAACAGCTACATTGATTCGCGGTGTTGGAATCCCAAGAATGGTGTCCTGGCACGATCCGGGATCGTCAAGACGCAACAGTCAGGTTGATCCGTGACGTCGGAATCCTGAGAGCAATGTCTTAGCATGCTTCCGGGTCTTCAAACGGTTGTCTGCCAACGAGGCAAATCCCCCAATGGATATGAACCGTTGTAAGGGCCTATGAAGAGGGAGCTTGGAGGGAGGGTGTAACCGAGAACCCACGAGAAGAAACCCCCAGGGATAGTAAAGTTCGGGGTTTTCGGGGAGATAATAAAAGTTGCCCGCCAGAGCCAGCATAAAGAGATATCAAGAGGAAAAAGCCAAAGATATCTTGAGGATTGTCTCTGTTGAGACATCCTCAACGAATTGCTTGTTTCGCTTGAGACATCCTCGAAATATGTGTTTCTTTCGCTTGAGACATCTTCAAATTATTGCTTATTTCGCTTGAGACATCCTTGAGGGAGGAGGAGGAGAAAGAGCAAGAGGAGGAGAGGAGAAGGAGATAGCAAAAATCCAAAGTTTAAAACGTATTAGATTTAATTTGTAAACGCTTGATGAACATTAAAATTTTCATCTGCCGTGTAGGGTAGCTCACGTGCCTCGTTTTCCCAGGATAATCAACCCCAGCGATAAACAAGTTCAGGGCGCCAGAGGGAGGAGGAGGAGAAAAAGATAGAGAGACAGAGAGAGAAAGAGAGAGAGAGACAGAGAAAGAAAGAAAGAGAGACAGAAAGAACTACAAAGAGACAGAAGGACATTGGTTTCGCTTGAGACATCCTGAAACAACGTGTTCGCGTCGCTTGATGTTGTTATCTCAACATAAGAAGGAAGTAACCTCGATGGCGAACTTTTCCCGTGATAATGAAGTTCGGCCTCCGCGCCCCCGCGCCCCCGACCAAACTCTTATTGGTCGGCGATAAAAAACTCTAACGACTTAAGGGGGGGTTCATTATTATCGTGGGTAGGCGGTTATTCCAACATCGTTGATGGCTATTGGGTTTACACTGGTCCTCCTCCTCCCCCTCCTCCTCCTCCTCCTCCTCCTGATCCTCCTCCTCCTCCTCCTGATCCTTCTCTTCTTTCTGTCAGTATTCCTTCTCCTCCTGCTCCTCCTCCTCCTCCTATTCCTCCTCCTCCTCCTCCTCCTCCTACTCCTCCTCCTCTTCTGTCTCCTCCTCCTCCTCCTCCTGCTCTTCCTGCTCCTGCTCCTCCTCCTCCTGCTCCTCCTCCTCCCTCCTCCTCCTCCTGCTCCTCCTCCTCCTCCTCCTCCTCCCCCTTCGCCTCCTCCTCGTCCTCCTCTTCCTCCTCCTCCTCCTCCACCTCATCCTGGTTCTCCTCCTGATGATCGTCCCCGCCATCCTTCCAGAAATGTTCCCCGAAGGGTGTGCACAACTGTTGGGGGAACACATGGTCCGATAGCTTGTCAGAGCTGTTGCCACAACACTCGGCCACATGGGCGAGTCCAAAAGGCAGGGTGCGGCGGTGATTCGTCGTAGGAGTCTTCGATCCGCCGACCCCTGTGGTCTTGCCACAGGGGTGCATGGCGTGCTGAAGTTCGCCCAAAGATGGTCCCACATGGCGTCCAAATGGCCTTAGAAGGTCCAAGATGCCTCAAAGTCCGCCCAAGACGCCTCCCAGACGGCCCAAGATGGCCTCAAGATGACGGCAGACGGCCCAGGAGGCCCCCAAGAGGTCTCCAAAGCGGCCCAAGAGGCCTCCAAGAGAGCCTCCAGGAAGGCCCAAAGAGGCCAAACCGATTGGTTGTCCTCAGGTTTTGATGGATTGTGGCCAATGGTTCGCTTCGGCCTTCCGACGGTCCGAGACGGCCCAAGAGCCCCCACCGATCGCCCCAAGATCGCCAAAGAGGCCTCCAAGATGGCCCCAGAACGGTCCAAGAGGCCTCCAAGACGGCCCCAAGGCGGCCAAAGGGGCATCTAAGATGCCCAAGATGGCCTCCAAGACGGCCCTGGAGCACCCCAAGAGGACCTCCTCCTCCTCCTCCTCCTCCTCCTCCTCCTCCTCCTCCTGATCCTCCTCCTGATCCTCCTCCTCCTCCTGATCCTCCTCCTCCTGATATTCCCGCCATCCTCCCCCAAGTGCTCTCCGAAGGGTTTCCACAACGGTTGGGGGAACACTTGGTCCGATAGCGTGGCAGAGATGTTGCCACAACGCTCGGCCACATGGGCGATTCCCAAAGGCAGGGGCGGCGGTGATTCGCCGTAGGCGTCTTCGATGATCTGGATGCCCCAGCACCATCCTCCCTTCTCCCTCTCCTCCCCCGCCCCAGCAGGAGCGGTCAGCGTTCGAACTGGTACACAGGGCCAGATCGGAACAAGCATCGAATCGAACTGCATCGGCATCCAGTCAGAACCGAATCGGATCGGCCGCGCCAGGATGCACAATAGCGCCATCCAAGCATCGAGGCGCACTGGACCGTGTGAATACTGGAATCGGATCGAATCGAGCCAGCTGGAATCGATGTCGAATCAGATCGATTAGGATCGAAAAGGACCCTGCCCCCCCTACTCCCTCGCCATGGCCCCTGCCTGAGCGGAACGATAGGAGGGACTGGTTCAGGGGGGAACATCGAGCTTGAAGCAGCGACAAATCGCCAGTAGGTCGGCGAGAGGCCCCCGATAACGAGGCCACACGCTCCTGGGCGGGGTGCTACCAGGCCCCACATCGATGAGGAATGGGCGATTGGTTGCGGATGCATTCCCCTCGAGCCGAACCGCCAACTGACCCTGATCGTCTGGTTTTCGGGTCAGAGTTTGGGTCTCTGGCGGCCGCTTTGGGCGATCTGGGCGCCCCAGGAACGCTCTCGGCGAGGCGCAGCTGCTGGAACGCATCCCGAGGCCGGAGAAGGGCCAAGAACCGACGAGAATGTCCGAACACCTCTACCATCGAACCTCCGGTACTCCCCCCCCCGAACCTCGAACCTCGAACCTCGAACACCTCGAACACCTCGAACACCTCGAACACCTCGAACACCTCGAACACCTCGGACCTCGAACACCTCGACCTTTGAATCCCCGCACACACCTCGAACCTCGAACACCTCGAACCTCGAACCACGACCTTTGAACCACCCAACACCTCGAACCTCGAGCCCATCCCCCACCCCGTCCCTGCCCCTGGGCTGCCACACCCGCGCCGCGCGGCCTGCCGCCCCCCCACCCCCCCCCCGCGGGGGGCGGCGGGGGCGAGGGGGTC